TATATGGCAGCAGTCCAGTGGTGGGATTCAGCCAGTTCGCACCTATTCGGGAGGACCGGTTGGTAACTTTCTAAGCAGTTCAAAGAACCGGCTGTTGGAAGAAATCTCATTTTGTTTTTTTCCACTTTACAGGGCTAATCCTGTAAGGAAGGCAGGAAGGAAACATTCTGCTGTTGTTTCTAGCCTAATCTTTATTGTCCTGCTTATAAAAACTGCCTCTCCAGTTAACTCTTATTACATTGTAACAGCTAAGGCAAAGCGCCCATTGACGTGAGTCACTTTGAGTTGGCCAAGCCCACCCAGTCACATGATCACCAAGGCACAGCTATCATTAGGGCAGAGAAGCAGTTGTTAAATTATTTGAGTCCCACCACTGGTTATAGAGTTCTGGAGAGAAGAGGGGGAATGTCTTTAACTTACTGGTATTTCAATTATTGCTTCAAGTATTTGAACTTTCTTTAAATTTTGAATGTGAAGAACTGGTCCAGTTAATATATTTTTATCAGGACTGCTGTAATCCACACAATATACAGGAAGGCCTGGAACTCCTAAAAACTAATATAATCAAGAATAATTTCGATTAAGGTTATGGCCCATTCAAGTCATAAGATGGCATAAATGTCTTAGAACTAAATTTTAAGACAGACTACAAATATGTGAATGCATATGCTATGTATTCTTAACACAAAACTCTAGCCAAAATGTCAACATCTAAGTTCTAGAGTTTAAATCACAGAATATTTCAATCACAGAAAATAATGTTATTTTCAGCAATATAAGCAATTATATTTGAGAGACACTGCCTACCTTGCACTGAACAAGTAGTTTTGGTTGAGCTGTTATGTTGCCTACTACATCCAATACTTCAACAGGAAAAGAGAAAGCTGTTCCATTCTCAATTTTCAAGACATCAGAATCTAGTTTCACATTTAGCTGCTGAGGAAGGCCTGTTAAGAGGTCAGAAACTGGCATTTAATTTATTGCTACAAGCATTAAAAGAATTACCTTGAAGTAAGATGGGCGGCCAAACAATTTTATAGATAAATAATAAAAAATAAGATGTCCAAACAAACTAACAGCTTTGAAAATGTCAATATTTTAAATTATATCCATGCCATAAACAATACAATATGTAAACCAATGCAGCCAATCCTCTCTATTTATTTCTCCATTAATGATTTTTATATATGATAAGCTAAAGTTAAAAAGAGATTTTTAGTAAAGTTAATGTTTAAATTATATTTTGTGTTACTCTATTTTGCCAAAGGAAATCAGGGAGATGATTGTTTACCCTTGCCACATACTTCAAAGCCATGAGGAAACACATAAAAATCCTTTTTCTTTCATACTGACAAGTAACACTATGGCTGTGAGTTTGTTTTATCTCATACCAGAGTTAAGAAGAAGGGCACCAGGTAAACACATCTTCTAAGCTTGTGGCAACAATAATTACAAATTGGTTATTCCAAAGCAAGAAGGTGAATCCGGGGTCTACAAAAACCATGGGTCTTCTGGGACTGGAGAGGTGAGATCTCCAACCTTTCAATGTACAGGTTCAGCCCTGCTTCTAAAACTGGGAATTGCAGAGACTGTTCTACTACATTCTGAACTGAATGGGACAATTGAGAACATCCATACATAGTGCTTTAGAGGAGACTACATGAAAATACCTAGGCTGTAAACTGTGCTAAAAGGTTAACTCACACACGCACGCACGCACGCACGGACACACATGAAAAAAAAAAAGATGGCAGCAGTGGCAAAGCACTTATGGTTTGGATATGTCCATGTAGTCATCAGGAGTCAGCTTCAATGAAGGTACATTTTTTAAAAAAAATATTTGTTACATTCAATTGTGAAAGAGAATGCTGAATGTTCATTATCATGTATTGGTTCATTTCAAATGGTCATATAAAATAACTGGAAAATTTTAGGGACCATTTGAAAATAAAGAAAGCTTCCCTTTTTTGAATGTTACCTGTTTCTTTGTGAAAAAATGCTTATATGGCGTTTAAGCATTTCAAAGTTCTATGTGGTTCAACATTTTATAGTTCTTTCTCCCATAGTAATCCTGAAGGCTTCTCATTGTCCAGGCATTGTCAAATACATTGTTTTTCAAAAAGTAAAAAAGGCCTAAGTTATTTGAAGGCCTAGGTCCAAAATAAGTATGTGTGTGTGTTTGGGCGTTGTGTGTGTGTGTGTGTGTTTGTGTGTGAGGGCTAATAAATGCCGACTCCTAGCTGCTGCCTCGACAAATCCCTGAGGTTTAGTTGACAAAATTTAGGGATTTTTTTTTATCTGCTTCTTTGAGATGAAAAAGTGTGACTGGCTCCAAAATCATTAAGCTGGCTTTGTGCCTATGGAAGGATTAGAACTCATCTGCTGGTTTCTGCCTGATACCTTAACCACCACACCAAACTGGCTCTCTTCTAAAACCCTTACAATAATTTTCCCCACCCCTGAAATATGACAAATCAGATTTCTTCATTTTTTCATATTCATCTCATTCACCTGAAATTCTGTACAGCTTTTTGTACTATGTTCATGTTAATCAACCGGGAAAAGAATACCACAAAAATTGATCTATTCTATACCAAAACTGGATTCTAATATGACTACAAAATGTACATCTCTTAGTAAATGATTACATTACTGTCATTTTCAACATATGCTTTCATGTATTTCAAATATTTTACTTACCTGGGAAAAGTTTAATTTTCAAAACTTGGGACTCTTCCTTTAGACCAGGAAGAGTGATCTTTAGATTAAAGTTCTGTTAAAATGATAAGATATAATAGTAATAAAACAACATTTGTGAATCGCAGATCTTCAGGAAAGATGAAATCCAGTATAAATATTTAGCTGATTATGCAACTAACCATAATAGTACAAATGTGTTTGACTATTTAGTACTTATAGTGAATATTCTTAAAAAGCAATTATGTAAAAATACAAAAAAATTGTCAAAGTATATGTTTGCATCTTTACTAGCAGTGCATGTTATTGAATACCGCCAACTATTGAAGAGATTTTTTTAGCTCCTTCCAAACTTTGCTTCAAATTATATTCAGATTATTCCATCACTTGAAAGGTACGCTGCTACTTCAGATTCATAACTTATCAAAATCAGTTTAACTGAACAAACATCTTTAAATTAACAGAATAACAGGTTTGTTGTGATAGCTGCAAATTGTATTTTAAAACTATCCATTAATTAGATAATCAAAAAAAAAACATTTTATATTGAAAAAGATTAGCTTACCTTGCCTTGGCAATTATTTACAAGGCCTTTAGCAATTATGCCTGCAATGGCGCAATTTGGTCTTCTTTTTATTTCATACTGTAATGTTAGATCACTACAAAATAAAACTTAAAATCAATGGAAGAGATCAATTTTAGTTATCATTTATGAGATAAATGGTTATGTTTTACTAAGGATTTTCTCTCTCTAATTCCTCTTAGAGACCAATCATATTCTATCTGATAGAGTCTATTAGATAGCATATGTGAGAGATAAGTTCTCACAATTTGCATTACCTTATAGGCATTGAAAGATAAAAGTGAGAAAGAAGCCTTCTGGCCTTGTAGTAGCTGGAAGTTTTAACTCGTCCATTCTTTGGAGAAAAAGACCAATACCACAAGAAATAAACAAATAAAAGCTTTATTTTAAAAGAAGATACTATAAAAACATATTAAATTTTAAACACTCAAAATATGAACAGCGTTGAATTATTGAGCTGCAACTTGATAAAAGAGGAAAAATCCCATATGACAATATGATGTCTGAATAGACCACAAGATGGCAATGATACATTAGAAATGGGATTTCACTTAATTATACTTATTCTTTATTTATTTGATTTATTAGGACACTGAACTTGCAAAAGTGATTCTGTGTAGCTTATTCTTATTAGAACAGGAATATTTTGTAGATAAAAATATTAAATGTCTAAAACATGACCAATGCATGATTGAACACAGTTGAAAAGCATGATTACTGAGTTTGTACTAAGTTGCAAGGAACATTGGATTTAAGCATACCTAGCAAAATATATTAAGATGTAATAAAACTTCTACATAACATGTTTATCTATGTTGTAGAGATAGCCTGCTTCTGAAGCATAGTTCTTTACATTTTTTGGGCTTCACCATTCTATTGTAATTCCATGACTCCTTTGTTTTGTTGGAGCTCACATATCCTCAATATATATTCATGAACTTTTGATCTCCACTGTCTTCTGTTGATGCAGCAAAAAGATGTCTGATGTGTCTGAGGTGGTGTCACACCACTTTTCTCAGCCATTTAGTGCTAGATTGTTCCGTGAGAATCACTACTGCTAATATTGCATGGCAATGTGTCTAAAATGTAGGTGGGAAGCAAGGGTGGGTTCCGGCAGGCACTTCGGCCGGTTTGTTTGTGTGCCTGTTGGCACTTGATGCACACTATGCAGGCATGTACAGTGCAATTAAAATTGTTCTGCGCATGCACAGAACTAAAAAACAAGATGGTGACACCAATGGCAGTGCCCGGGGAACAGGTTCAAAGGCGTGGCAGGCCTGGGTCGCTGTTGTTCCAATGACCCAGGCCAACAAGCTACTATCGGTTCGGCCGAACCGGTAGGAACCCACCACTGGTGGGAAGGTGTATCTGTACCTCTTATGATGATACTAGGCTTATTAATGCTGATCTCTTCTGGTTTATTGTTGCTCTGGCAATAATTACAATGGCTGCCAACTAAATATGCATAATGTATTTCTATCTAGGGATGCATCTATTCAGACTGATTTACTCCTTATAAGCAATGAATGTTGGGGAAGAATTCTTATGGTACAAGAGAAACATATCATGTAAAAGTGGGAAAGACCTTGGACCAATTCATAATGCATGGGAAAAAAACAATGATAAACTACTCCTGTCTTTTTAGCGAGAAAACTACATGGATAGAAAATACAAAATGATAAACAATCTAGTGCTGTATGATGGGTCTCTCAGATCAGATGGCACTCAACATCCTACTGAGGAAGAGCTCCTCATGATGTTTATGATGTGGCTAGATTAAAGCCTTTGGGAGTTTTAGTGCTATACAAGAAAAGAGACTCTGAAGTTACAGAGATAGAATTGCAGTACAAATATAGAATTTGAAAAGCATGAACACAGAAAAGCTCAACACAGTGAAAGATGAAGTGAAATGACTATAAATAGATATTTTAGGCATCAGCAATTTTCAGTTAGAAGAGCACACTGTATTTTAACTAGGTCATGAAAAACAAAGAAGAAATAGTGTTGCTTTTATAGTTATGAAGGACAAAAAAAAAAAGCCGCCGGAACAAGGGAAAAAAAAATACCAGAAAATACCTTTCAACTTAAAAAAAAAAGATCTCGCGAAGTTGGAAGAAGTCCCACAAACTACTTTTTTTGCCTTGCATGTGGCAGTGGACAAAGGAGCAGGAAAGCAAGTTAGTGGAGGAATGTGGCTGCCTTGGGAGGGAGGGGGGTTAGGGATCTCTCTCTCACACAAACCCACACACCATCCTTTCCTTGGGAGCTCTGCAGACGCAGAAAAGGCTTCGGATAGAGCGTTTGTGGGATGTGCATCTGAGCTGAGATCCCAAGGAAAAAATGATTGCCAGGAAAAAAAGGGGGGGGGGATTTTGCCTCTTATCCTGTTCTGAGTGTGCTGAGCTTCAGAACAGGGTAAGAGGAAGAAAAATTTCCCCTCCCCATTTTAAGCTGTTTGCAAAAATGCCCCATTCCGAGCCTGGGGTGTTTTTGCAAACGGCTTGAAAATGTGGAGGGGGATATTTCTGAAGGTCAGCACAGACTGAGAACAGGATAAGAGACAAAATCCCCTCTCCCTATTTTCAAACCGTTTGCAAAAATGCCCCATTCCAAGGCTTCAATGCTGCAATCCTTGAATATGCTGAATATCCTCTTTTTTGAGGAAAAAAGATGCGTCTTATACTCCGAAAAATACAGTAGTTAGACTTTGAGGGCAATCTTTTAATATAGCAATAGCATTTGGAGTTATATACAGTTCCACGATGATTTACAGTCCTCTGTAAGCAGTTTACAGAGTTTGCATATTCCTCCTAACAATCTGGGTTCTCATTTTACCAACCTCAGAAAGATGGAAGGTTGAGACAACCTTGTGCCTGTCAAAATCAAACTCCTGGCAGTGGGCAGAGTCAGCCACAAGTACTGCATTCTAACCACTGTGCCACCAAGGCTCCTTAATATGATTATCAAGTTTATCTTCCAACCACCAATGCAGAAGAGGGGGTTGGTGATTTCTGTGATTTAATTCAGTTTGAAATCAATGGAACCTGTAAATAAAATGTCCTGTGATTGGTGACTAGTTGGAAACATAAAAGAGGAAAAGTTAGACTGTATGGCTTATGAAACCAAAATGGAGCAGGAGACCTTCTTTTCAATTTCTGCAGTCCAATGATTTTATCATAATAACATTATTGTCAAACAACCAAAATGCTTCTATTTTGGACATCCCCAGGTGGAGTACATAGAAATAAAATTGACTATGTTATTGTTGAAAGGAGTTCAATTATAGCACCAAAGAAATGGACGGGTACAGACTGTGGAACAGATCAAGAAATGCTCAGGTGCAAGCTCCAAGTAAAGTTAAAGAAGAAGAAAGCCATTTAGGTTCCACAATATGATGTTCAACTTATTCCCACCATTCTAAAGAAGAAAATCAGAAATTGCTTTCAAATCCTGAATCTGTTTGTTAGAGAACCAAATTATGGAATGAATTTAAAGAAGTTGTTAAGAATGAATTTGAAAAGAGACTGTCCAAAATTAGGAAAGAGAAGAAAGCAAACTAGATATCAGAACAAAGCCTGGAAATTGCCAATACAAGAAAAGCCAAAGCTATGGGAGACAAAAAGCTCAGGAACTTAACAAAGAGCTTCAGAGAGCTATTCGAAGAGATAAATAGTAGTATTTAAACAATGTTCATAAAGAGACTTAACAGAAGGTGCAAATTATTATACATAGACCCAAGAATAAAATATTCCCAAATCTAGCTATTTATCTGTAATTGATTCAGGTTTTATTTTGTTTTTAAAATGGGAGACAAGAATGTAGGAGAAAAAGAAGAGGGAGCTGTATTTGCTTGAAGAAAAAAAGATATAAGAATCCTCAGCTAACTGTTTGCTCTACAGAACAGTCACACATGATATTAACTATTCACACCTAAAAAAACAGTTGTCACATCCATCATTTTATATATTCTCAATTTATTAAAAAAATGAATTATGATAGAAGAAACATTTCCATTCCATTCCATACATTTCCCTGTAATTAGCAGAAATATAAGAGATTCTAAAGGAAAATGTTCTAATTTTATGACAACACATAGCAAAGAAATAGTTATGAAATACAGAATGCCCAGCATTCACACCAAATTAAAATCATACAGTATTTTTTTCTCTATGTTATAAAAATGAAATAACTACTATTACCTTGCTTCAAGGACTGGTATAATATTTTCCGTCAGTAGAGTGGTATGTCCAAATTCATCCTGGACATCTAGAGGAATATTGAATGGATGCCCTATCCGTAATGGAGTCTCCAAATTACCTATTGTAAACTTCTGAGGTTTGCCTTCTGAGGAAAAGAAAAGAAAAATTCAACATCTTGGTGGAGACTGGAATTTTCCAATCACACTGTTGATGGCTCTACTCACTTTTTGCTATCTTCATCAGCTTTCAGTTATTAATTTTGTCATATATAAAATGAAGGAGAATTTTCCTGTCATCTGAATTAAAGCCTATTTTTAGTTTATTAGGTAAAATTTGTGACGTATATCTGTAGAAACACTTTGTTTCCTTTATATATAAAGCTTCTGTACAGTGATTTTAAAAATAAAAAAAAATATTTTGAAATATGACACGTTCAGTAAAATTAAAATTAGAGCAGAATTTGAAGCACTCTTCTGCTATCAACAATGTCAAATCTTTCTTTCACTATATTAACGCACAGTTTAATGATATCCAGTTATTAATCACATTTAAATGATCCCACGTTGCTCAGCAAGTTATGATAGTTCTTTATTGATTTGGGGATATCTTACCTACAATATCACATCTTACTAATCTCAGCATTTTTATCCTGGGTTAATGTTAATATTGGGATAAGTGTAAAGATGAATTATGATGAATAGAATTTTACCCAAGAGTTGTGGGGAAAAAATTAAACATTTTGGCAAAGTGCTCTGACTATCAGAGTAAAACATGGAGTTGCTTTCACAATTCAACATCTTTAAATTGCATTTTTTTTCTCCCTGGGATGAACTGAGATAAACAAAAATATGATAATACTATATATTTATTTAGAGAAATTGTGTTTAACTTTTAGAATTAATAGTTCAAATGAAGGACAATTCTATCGACATAATTATGGATATTTCCAAAAAGATCAAATCAATGATAAAAACATTTAGTTGGTCAGTTTTTCAAGTATTAATCATACTTTTAATATACATTCCTAATATTTCTATGCTGCTTTTTCTTTGGAAAGCCACTTTTCTTAGAGAATTAAAATGAAATATATTTTTTTTTTCTCCACTGACTGAAAGAATTATTCTTTGGAGAACTGCCTAAATACTTAGCTCATTTATATTTTAGTAACATTTTCAAAAATGCTTTTAATATATTACAAGTAGTCCTTGCTTAGCGAGTGAATAGATCTCAGTAGAGCTACTTACAATCCATTTTCGAAACAGCCCTCCATGGCCAGGTGATAGCATTTTGGAGGCTTGACAACTGGTTTGCAGTTGTGACCATTTGCCATGTCCTGTGGTCACATGGCTGCAATTTTCAGCATTTTTTTTTTACCAGTTTCCAGCATTTTCTTACTGTTTCTGGCAAAAAGGGCGTTGGTACTTACATGATACGCCTCTTCTCATAGTGGGGGGAGGAGTATCCAGAATG